CCCCAAAACCCCAAAACCCCAAAACCCCAAAACCCCAGAGGGAATATTAAGGTTGAATGGGGATGAGAGATTGGGTTTAGGAATAACTGGTTTGGAGATTTTGGAGCTTGATGGCTTCGTTAAGCTTAGAATAGAAGCTGTAGCTAGCTTATGAGGGTGGAAGGTAGTAGAATCATGGTCTTTAGATTCTTTAAGGAGTAAGAGGGAAGTTTACTCTGTAGCTTTGATGTTATGAGGCTTGGAGCTTGATTCTATACTTTTTCCTGTGAGGCAACGTCTTCAAGAGTGTTTTTGACTCATCATTGTCTTAATTTGATGATATATTGAGGTTAATCTGCCTGCTTACTTTAAAGCGATTTCTTGCTTAATACTCCTGATACAAGTTTGTAGTCTTACTCTGTCCATTCTTCATCCATATAATCATTCTATTTTTAGAATAAACCTTACTATAAACTTGTCAATTTTAGTGCGGTAAAGCATTTTATTGACCAAATTGGCAAGTAACTTTGGAGTTTTCTTATCATTGTGTGCTTGAACATCAGTGTCATCCTCACTTTCATCAAAAGTAAGCACATTGGATCTCTGATGTTTGATTATGTACTTTTCGCTATGATCTAGGAGTGATCTGACAAGTGCTTGGAGATTCCTCATGTTCTTTCAGAATCTCATTGCATCAAACTCATGAGCATACTTGTCTTGTCCTTTGATGTAATACTCAAGTCTCTTTTTGATGTTAAGATTGTTCTTTTTATTGACATAACAGTGAAACATAAACTTGAAGTATCCACAGGCATTGTAAAAGAGGTAAGTAAATCTCCATTCGTAATTAAATCTTCTCTGAATAGACTGTCTTGCCTTTTCAATCAGCTCCTCTTTATAATTTTTATCAAAGTTAATTTTTCTCACTAATTTCGTGTGAGGATCCTCTATTTCTTTTATGCTTGATTCAGAAGAATCTTTATTCCTTGCATTCATCACTTTGCTTGTTGGAGGATTTCCATCTAAACTAGCAAAAGAATAATACTTTGAGATGGCCTCTCTGATTCTTCGAGTAGATACATCTTTGAGAATATTGAATAGAAAAACAGTCTCTCTGAGAAAAGGCCAACGATGAGACCTCCAGCAATTGTGAATATCTCAAGAAGGCTTCCAACACGGTGAAAACCGAACGTTCTTATGATTTTGGGGCTAAGTCTTTAGTGAAAATGACATCTATTGATTAGGAACTGGGTAAATACTTAGTAAGTAAGGAAAATGTGATCCTTCCATTGAGAGATTGTCATCAACTGCTTCAAAGCCAATGAATTCCTTTGTTTTCCTCCTGGTCTAAATGCTAAGTAGTCATCTTGGACCTCAGCTTCATTTTTCCGAGAGTTTTATATATCTTTTACTGTAGCTTGACAACTTTGTGCTTGGTAAATTCTGAATTCAAAAACAACAACAATCAATATATTTCATTGGTATGAGTAATCAAGAAATGTTTCAGGCCAAGCTGGATTCAATAAAGGGCTTTGAGTCTTAATAAAAGCCAATATGCCACCTCATAAAACTTATAAGTCTGAAAATGAAGGAGAATTCCAGACTCTTTCTCAAAGATTATGAATAGTAAATATTTCAAATCTTATATAAAATTCTATTTTATTCTCTTTAACAAGGTAGAACATAAAACACAGGACAAGAAAATGAATCTGCTTGACCATCGCTTGTTTGACTGACCCACCTATCATCAAGATATGTCTTCACTGGGTTATTATAATCATCAAAATCAAAGTAAGTATTGACCTATACTTTAAGAGTCTTTAATTTTTACCACTTGGAGTCTTATTTCGATCAATGAAAGGATAGCATCAATATTTGTATTTCGTGTCTCAAGTAACTGGACTTGTTGCATTATTTCACCAATGTGTTTCTCTAGTTCCGTTACCTTTAAATGCTGAAGTCGAAATACGGAAAAGACTCTGAGAGGATGTTGCCAAGGACAGAGAAGTTTCTTGAATCAGGACAATAATATTCGCTGAACTTGAGCATATCAATCTGAAGAGAGTTAGTTGTGGCTTACTTCTTCCTGGTTGTCATATTTGAAATTAATGTAGATTCTAGTTTTGTAATAAATATAGGGGTTTTGGGGTTTTGGGGTTTTGGGG